AGATAGATAGATAGATAGATAGATAGATAGATAGATAGATTAGTGAAAAACAGGGGGAATGTGGCCTATGAAAACTCAAATAGAAAGACATTTTGTTCAGTCTTAAAAGGATTCCGAAATAAATACATAAATAAATAATAGGCAACGATTACATTTTTAAAATTGCGATTAATTGTGTGATTTTCTGCGATTAATCACATTGTTTTGCACAAAATTCAAAAGTAGTGTATTGTGCACTTTTTTCATTTAAAAGTACTGCTATATGAACAAAAGTGCAATAACATTTGGTTTGCAAACACTTTAAACAAATAAGGCGCTTTTTTTACAGCAGTATTAGCAGTTAAAATATTTATTGTAAATCTCAACTTATAACATTAATGTAATCAAATTAAATATAAAACCAAAGCTATTTGCCACTGCCAGGGCATTAACGTTTTTATAGAAAATATTTTATAGTTTGTTATAGAAAAACAAGTTATGCTCAGAGTCCAGAGCCTCGATCATAACATTATAACAGGCACCTTCCGAGTAGAGACCTGCCCGATCGCGGAACCCAACGCAGCAGAGTGCGGCACGGGAAAACACTTGATGGGCGAGTGCAGGTGCGGGCGGGATGTGGGAGAATAAGGGTGTACTCACACTAGGCAATCTTAACCGTGCTGTTTAGCCGTCCCGGGCTCGGTTGGAAGAGGTACTGGGCCAGAGAGCACGGTTCAGTTGGGCTTGGGCACGGTACGCATGTAGTGTGAGGGCCAACTGCGCCGGAGCATGGAACTTCTGATACGTGCAGCACGATTGCGTATATATACTGTGAGAGGGCCGTGTGTCACCGCGTCCTAAACGACTCAAAATAATAAACCACAAAGTTAACAAAACGATGCACTCCACTCCACTGTGCTGAGCGAGAGCGCTTCTCTGCTGTCGTGCTATCGGAAACTTCCTATTTCCCTCTTGTGAAGTCGTGATTACGAGCACGTTGCATTCTTTTCTGTTAAAAATAACAGTGAACAGTGGTTTGTGAATGTTGATGCTTAGCCTAAAT